CTGAAGGGCAGCACTGCAGGCGGAGGGTGCGTTTGCCCTGGAGGGAAGCAGCAGCTCCAATTTCTGGGGGTGCCCATGCACCTATATGGACACACAGATTGTTCCCCCCGTGTTCTGAAGATAAGCCTCTAATCCTCTTCACCAGGTGAAAGGCGGGCTCCTGGAGCTGTGGCCGCAGCCCCGACAGCGACACACGGGGAGGCCGAAGGGAGCTGGGTGGTACGGGGGCAGCAGGCCGGCCGGCCTGTCCTCCCACCTCAGGCAGGCCGGGGGAATTTCACACAGTGATTGCTGCAGCAAGCACACAGTGAGGACTGCAGGAAGGCGTACATACACCAGGACAGCGGTCAGGCTTGGCTTACACACCTCTGAGGGAGGAGGAGTTTACCCCTTCCCTTGGAAAAGCTGTTCCAGTGGTAAATAATGTGGTGTGTGGCATTTTATTCATTTAATTCAAACACCAGTCAGACTCTCAGAGCTGCTGAGAAAATACCAAGGGAAAAGAAGCCAGTGATGATCTTCAGCAATTGCTATGCTTCCTCCGGATCAAAATCAAACATTATTCTTTCAAGCAAGACTTATACCTGTAGTCCATCACAGCTGAAATATGACCGTTAATTCATGGAAGATATCAAAATATACCAACAGTTGTTGCTGCAAATCAATACTGTATGCATGGAGGTAGGGACTGGACCAAATAATACCACCCGCTCTGTAGTTAGCCAGCACTCACCCCTTATCTTTCAGACCTGAAAAAGGGCTTCTGTGGCCCAAAGCTGATCTTTCCTCTTCCCAGCTGCACTATTTGGTCCAAGAGATGATGCTACATCTGCTTATTCATCTTTATTGTGCTAGTTGAAACCTTCATTCATCCCGACCACTACATCTTTCCCCAGGCACATAACAAATGAAGCTCTCCATACTATCCATCTTCTAAATGATAAATGTTCCAAGTAATTTTTATTTAGAATACAAGAGAGAGGTACAAATGTATTTACACTGTGTACATATACAATCAAATAATATATAATATCAAAGTTTTGTAAATAATGTTTACATAAATATTTACAAAGTTAAAGTGACAGTTTGCTTTTTTTCTGGAAGTAAAACACAGTTTGTGAGAACTTTATACATCTTAGACTTACAATTAATATTAGAATACCTTCTTTTAAGCTTTATGATACACAGCCCTCTTCACACATGTGACAGGACTCCAGAGGGCGCTTAGAGTTGTCCTTGGGGACAGGTTTTCCCTGTCCCCAGAGGGCAGTAGAAATAACAGCCGAAACGTTCCCTCGCGGCTGCGGGGAGCCCTGGGGAACCGTGCTCCCGGGCTGGAGCAGGGACAGCCCGGCAGAGCACAGGGTGCTCCGCAAAACCTGCCCGTGGACGGGCATTTCCAGCTGGCACATCGTGCTGGGGGTGTCCCTGCGGCACATTCCCTGTCCCCTCTGCCCATGGCGTCGCTCGGAGGCATCGGGCAAACCCCAATGAATGGCTTGGGCTGGAGGAGGGCAGGCAAGGGGACTGGGGGCGGGGGGAGGCGCAGAACACGACTGCTTGCTAAATCAGGGCTCCCGAGGAGGGAAACGTGCCCCTTGGAAAGAGCCACCAGGGCCAAAGCTGGGGTAAACAGGCATGAGTGGGGTGCCAGCCCTCCAGCAAGGCATGTGTCTCTGCTGGGCACCCGCTGGACAGAGGAGGAGGGATAAGAGCAATTTTTCTTTCCACTAAAGTATCTGTAAAACCCAGGCGTGACTCACCCAGGCCCTGCCCTCCCACAGTGCACCGACAAACCCACGCAGGACGTCCCGCTGTGTCCCTTCGCCCCTCTCCCCCTGCCAGCCCCAGGGACCAGCAGCCCACTCTACACCGCATCTCCTCGGAGAGGATCCCACGCGGTGCAGCTACACCAGCAGCTTGCAGAGCTGGGGGGGTCCCATCACGCACCGAACAGCCTGCCTGTGCAAACAGTGATGCTCCAAAAATAAACCAGCACCCCTCTTCAACACACAAAGCGGCCCTGCCTC